GGCCGAGATTCCCTTTCCTTTTCGTCCACGAAAGAGAAATGGAGCTCACGCGTCAACGACGGACTGACCGACCGTTGGCGCCGATCGCGACTTTCGAACTGATTGCGATTATCGAAGTCGTAATCGACGTGAATCGGACAACTTCGCAGTGCCGTGCTGCGAGGCGTTTAACCTAACACCGCTACTCCGTCCCGATTTCGCCGAGGCGTGTCGCGATAAAAACGACATTTCGGAAGTAACTATATTTACGCGTGGAAACGGTGTCTTGTCGCTCATTGTGCGAACACATTAAATAATTTCTTTCGCGTATCGTTCACTTATCACGTATAAAAATAGCCTCTAAACGCGGACACGATTGGCGCCTTCATTTGACTCGCGTTAATTTCATGATGCTCCGCAAGTCGCGTGATCGGTGATGGCGGGACAATCTCACTAGACTGCGCATGCGTGCACTACCGTCTGTTGATTACGAGTACGATTAACGCGATGCTACAAATGCTTTAAAATAATTTTTGATTGATCAATTTGTAAAATTCTTTTCTAATTGGTCAATTAAACGCATTCAAAGCATTTGTCGTGAGACTTTGACCGCAGCCTACGTGTGACTTATTTTTTCACAATGAATGATAAAATGCAACAGATTCTATTTTTCGTAGATGCCAGTCTTGGATTTGTAACAAGGGAACAATATTTTGAAATGGAGTTATAACATAAACAATCTATTTCTATACGGTATCAAACAAAGAAGTTAGTCAAATAAGCTAGTTATTTTTGTTGTAACTGACTAATGAAGTCATTTTTCATTCATTTATGAGTCTGTATTTATATAAAATTTTTTTCTTGAAATTTAAAAATAAGGTAAATTAAAAAGCTCCACAAATAAAATTCGAACGTAGAAAAATATATAAAAGGGAGCTTGGTTGACAAGATTTAATTTCAATTTAAAACTATTTAAGATAATTGACCAATATCGATATACAAATTAATTTTTTTATTACTAACATAAGTATTTAAATGATTAAGTAAATAATAAGTATTTAAATAATTAACTTTTAATGTAATATAAAATTCGTCATATTAAATGATTTATATTTCATCAATAAAAATGCATATTTAAGATGCAATGATATATATTGTGAAATTACCATTTTTTTCCATAATTATCGCTCACACGAATAATCAAATCCGAATAACAAAATTGCAGTTTTAAATTGAATGTGAATATTATTAAGTCCTAAATGCATGTTAGATACATATGAAACATCAGGATAATAATATGTCATAAAATTAATGTCATAAGCATTGTATGATATTATAAACTAAATTTAAATTTAAGTTATACGAATTTTCAAGATTGCCGGTTTTTAATATCAGGTACTTTATTGGTGTCTATGTAACTTTTTATGAAATATTTTTTATATAAAATACAATGAATGAAAAATAAAATGCGATAAATTAGTGATATGTAATAAAGAAATTAAAAGTTTAATTCAGTTATTAAACTATTATTTTCCTTATTATCAACTATTATAAAAATATATACTTTTCTTATGTTCATCAATTATGATCCATGTTGTTCTATAAATTGTTTAAGAAGAGACTTATCAAGAGGTATCGTCAGATGTTCAGCGCCGTCAACTGTACGTTTAATTCGTAACAATTTATGATCAATGAATTCAGTTAACTGTGCCCTTAATGTTAAATCGGAACTAACTAGAAACTGTTCGCGCGCTGTTCGATACAGATCCTTAAACGGCATCCCTAAAATGGTATCATAAAATGATCATCAAATTATCATCAAATATAGTTACTATGACTATATAATAGAACAGTAATTGATTCAATAATAATTACCTGTGAAATTTCTATTGCTGTTGCTCAATTGATATTCGACAAGAATCAAATAAATTGCTCGAGCATTTGACGTGAGGGACAGGAAGACATTCTGAAGAGAGGATAACGCGAGTCCACTGCTTTGCTGAACCAATAAAGAACTTTCATATGATGTTTCCGCTTGATATGGCAATAATGTTGTTGCATCCCACCAATAAAAATTAAACTTGGAGCGTTTTACATGGTCCCAAACTAAATCAACAAATTAGCGACATTAACTAGTAACAAATTAACTCCAAAATCAGCATGATGATAAATATAACTTACGAAGTGGTGCATTTATGTGATCAACAGATGCTAAGATATGGATATTTGGAATGGTTGCTAAACTGGCAAGTATATTTTGAGCTTTATTCGAACGTAGCATTACTCCATCAATATTGTGAATTAATAAATAAAGTCGATCATCCGGATTATCTCCCATAACTGTTTCTATAAGTTCTAAACAATCATTAAGATTTGTTGGACAATTCAAGTCTAACAAATCCATTATTATGTTATCAAGTATCTGAAATAACATTTAATATATAACTTTCGTACATATCTTTTTGATCAATAATAAATTTAACATACATCTTTTAGTGTTAAACTAGGAAAAAATCCATTTATAACCAATGTTGGATGATCTTTTATAATCTCATTGTGAAAATCATTTATCAAATTTCTTTTTGAGCCTACTCCATGAAGTAGCAGACTGTAACCTTCTCTAAAATATAACACAAGTTTTAAAATAATGTTTCGTTAAAAAATATTCAATCATATTTAATACTTACTCCAATATGAATTGCCACATAGGAAAAAACGATCTACAATTTTCTGTCAATGAACAAATACGTTTTTTGTGTGTCGTAGAAATATGACTTTGATTTATTAATAACTTTCCTAATGATTCTTCAGTGAGACGAGTGTTCTTAAGTCTTTCTAATGTATGATCAGATGTAACTGTTTTTTCTGATTGAGATGCAAAATACTCGTCGGTTTGTATGTGCTTTAAATATCAAAAAAAATTTATCAATATATATATATATATATAAATCATAAATTCATTGAAATATTTACATATAATTTGCTAAATATTTAAGATCATCTTGTTAATCCCAACTTACATAATCCTTGTAAGTAACAGTCTTACGTCCTCTCCCTGTTTTCCTAGGTGTACTTCGTACCTCATGTTTCAATAAAGGTTTCACTTTTTGTATAATTTTCCTTCTATTATTTTCTTGGATTGTATCAGAATTGTCACTATCCTCACTTTTATCAGAAGTTTCATAAGATTCTAAACTGGTTTCATCATTTGAAGGTATATATTCACTGTCTTCCGACACGCTTTCATTGCCACTTGAAGTTACACTGGGCAAATATCGTTTTCGAGATACTAAGTTATTAGAAAAAAAAAAATTAAAAGATGCAAATACATTTTTTTTACAATTTGTAACAAAGTATGTATTTATAAAACAGGATACCTTTGCTATCTTTCTTGACCATTTGATTATCAGGATTTATGACAATCTTGTCAAGAATGATTTTTAAGACTGGAAGTGTTTTAAAACTTTTTGGAGTCTCAGGTGTACGGCACTGATTAGCTTTAATCATCATGCTATTTCTTTTTGTTGGTGTTTGAAATCCGTATAGTTTTCTTCCATTTACATCCTTCTCAGAAAATAATTCTAAAACATATCAATATATTAGATGAGAATAAAATAGTTACCCATATAAATCTTGAGCAATTACCAAGTGGTTTTTGTACATCCTCTTCGATATCTTTTAGTTGTTCCTCTATCTCAGCATTCAATATATTAGTTTGTGCTACAAAAACATACACAATACACTGATTACAGATAATGAAGTATAACAAATCATAGTTTGAATTAAAGTAAATCTTAAAGACAAACTATTTCTACAAGATTTATATTAATTAACAATTATATTATCTAACCAGAATATTTATAATAATTTATATCAATATAATCTTACGACTGCTAACGGGTGTTTCCTCATCACTGTCTTCTGTGTATTTCACAAGAGATTTTATTCGCGTAGATCTTCTCACATTTCTGGCAGAAGCCATTTTTCACTAAATTTTCTATGTCGTACGTTTTTCTTTTTCCTAAATAGTAGTACTAAATTTTCTAATCGAATCCTAACCAATATTTGACTAATATTAAATTAAGATAACAAAGTAATGTGAATATTTGATTAGAAAATATTGAAAAATATGAGATGAAAAGTCATTAATCTGGCAAAAAAAAGTGTTGCTGTGTCCCACGAATATATCGAAATATTAGATATTAAATATTTATTCCTTACGGAAGTACGCGTCCTTGTTAATGAGTGATTAAGAGTAAAAAAACTGATAATATGTACTAATTTTATGACTTATTAGCAGAGAGAAACCTGAGAAGCCATGCCGGCTTTTTTCCTGTTACCGCCGAAATCTGCTAAAGTCACTAGATATATAAAGGGAGTTTTCCAGCAAAGGCACAAATCGAAAAGTCATTCCGTCTTTATTTTTTACTAATTATTGAACAAGGACAGAATGATTCAGTATCAATTTGTGTCTCTTGCTGAAAAGTTTCTTTTTACGAGCTGCTCTAATCGATTTGTTTCAGCAAGTCAATGGATGCTCGATATTCGTCAATTTTGACCACGTGATCCTTTTTGTCGCTGACATAGCCGGTTTGAGCAGCTCATGAAAATTTACCTTTAATGTTTGGCAAAAGCGAGAGAGAGAAAAAGTAAGAAAAAGAAAAGGTGCAGCCACAATAGAAGGAATAAAGATTAGGAATAAGAAATAAGGAATAAGGCTCTCAACCTGTCAGATATTAGAAAATTTTGACTCCTTTTTTGATTGGTCAAACTTCAATCTTTTAATCTTTAATCTCATTCTTCAATGTGTAGTCTGATTTCGTAAGCGTAATTGTAAATGATGTAGTGTAAGAATTGACAGAGAATCACAGTCAAATATTCTCCTCACATTTGATTTGATTGGTCAATTCTTACAACTACACTACTTACAACGCTTACGACTATTATAAATAGGCTTTGCTGCTTTTCCGTCGAGATGTGAACGTGCCTTAAAGGAGTAGGAGGCCAGAGGCGAAAGAGAATAAACATAACGAAACATAACCTATCAAAAGTATTAAATGTGCTCCGTGCACGTGTTTTATTGCTATACTTCATGAAACCGTTTTGTCGAATAATTTATACAATTTAGGACAATTTTAAAAAAATGACAGACTCCGCTAACAAAGACTCGATAATAAAATTAAATACGCAATTGAATAAGTCAGTGATATTGATAGAGAATGCCGAGGATATGCCATCTTCAAATCGCAAGCGTAAATCTATCACGATAAAGACAGAAGAACAGCCGTCCAAAGTACGTAGCAGTCCTGTTAAATCGCGCAAAAGCATTCTGAAGAAATCCAACAAATCGCTTGACAAAAACGTGGCGAATGATGAGATTGTGAATACCTCAAACGACGCTAATAGATCTGAGGTGACATTTAACGAATTATCATTATCTACCTCAGTTTTGTCCAGACCGCACACTGTAAGTGGATCATTATTCCGTTTCAATTTTTATTGTTTTAATTTTGATTATAGTTTCTACATTATTTTTATATAATTAATTTCTACATAATTAATTTCTATTTAAGTATAATTTTAATTGAAATATTGTCTATTGTCTATTTATCTTTCAGCTTAATGAAATGGTTGAAAAGGAGGCATTTAATGAGGAAAATGTATCTTCCACATTTAATTTGGAGGATGTATCAGACAGTGAAGAAATCTGGATAATGGACATGCCTAGATTAGTAAGTCTAGAATGGAAGGAACATAGTTTAATTTCATAATCAAGATTGTCTTAAGCATCGACGAGATACTATTAAAGAGGTTGGGTGGAAGTTTGCTTGACTGTTAAAATTTAAATGATTACATACATATGTTTATCTGAATAGACCGTAAGTTTTAAACAAACTGGTTAGATCTTAACTATAAAATTTACAGCAAATTAAAATCAGCTCAGAGTTTAGAGCAAAAAATTAAAAGTTTACTGTAGATCTGTTCTTTTTCAAAGAATTCTGAACTGGTTCTGATCTCGTACAATAAGTTAGAGTGAAATAAACTGTACCTGTCTCACTTTAATTTATTACACTAGTGTACACCAGTTCAAAACTTGGAATAGTATTTCAAAATTGTATTTAAGACAATCTTGAATGTAAGATTAAACACTGGCAAAATGAATACTAACCTATGTTTTTAATATCTCGAGGCATTGAGGGTATAATCTTGTGTTATGTAGGTAGACCCGCAAGACCTTCATGGTCAGACTATAGTTTTCGAAGACAAGTCAAAGTTCAAAATTAAAGACAAACGATATTGTATAGTCGCTCATAACACAAATCACAATGTCACGTGTGTTCTTAATTCTAAGAAGGATGCCCCACAGTATAAAACTGGTAAAAAAGTTTTTATTATGTAATCAAAAGAGAAATTTTGCATGTTCCTGTGTTATATTATTCTCTTTGATATAATACTGATATTTCCTGTATAGTAAATATCAAGCCAGCTGGTTTCTTGGCAATGAGAAGAAAATTGTCTGAAGCGCCGGAAGTAAAGCCGATATCTACCAAGAGCTCTGCCGTACAGTTCCCTGATAATTTAAGAACAAGGCATCCACTGTTTGGCGTTATTCACAAACATGAAAGGAGCTCAAAAAAACTCAGACGTAACTCAGTCAAAACAAGCTAGAAATTATAAATATAATTTGAATTTAATTTTAGTTTGATTTAACTTAAATGAATTTGTAAAATAGATACAATAATTTGGTACAAACCATTTTTTAAAACAGCCTGTAAAGATGTTTACCTTGTCATACATTATGATTATGAGAGTACACAATTCTTTTAAGTTCATTGTTCAACAAAGTTAACAAAGATAAGGATAATATTTTATATATTGCAATTATTGTAAAAAATATATATAATGCATGTGTAATAATATAAGTTTATTTTGTATTGTTAGAATCGTTAAGTCCGCTCTACCTGTCCACAATCGATATGTCAAAAAGTTTGAGACACCCTATACAGTTTTAGTATTTATTTTTATATCTAGATATAAGTAGTTATAACATTCATTTTTATATTGCAAAAAAATTTACAGGGATTATACAGATGATATAGCCTTAATTATTTGCAATAATACAATAGAACTAATTTTTAAGCTGCAACTGCTGTTTTGAACGATGGAAGTAACCACATGGAAATTTGAGCTTATATTCATATATTGGCTGTATTAATTTGGTATGGGGTTCCGCTTAGCTATGAGATACGAAAGTGGGAATTGGTGGAAATTTAGAAAACGAGCTGATAAAAGAACAAATCAAAGACGAAGGCCATGGCCTAGTTTACACCGCGCACTTGATAACGACTTTGACTAGTAACTTTCTATTGAATTATTTTAATTTCTGCGATAAACATATACATGATATGTGTATTAAAAATTGATTATTTTTTATGCACCACTTTAGTACATTATTTTTTAGATACTTTACTGAAATTAAAACGATCTAATAGAAAGTTACTAGCTGATACATGTATCAAGTGAGATAGCGATTAAGATTTGGACTGGAATTTAACCAATCAGAAGAAAGAAAATTAATTTCAAGTTTAGTGAACTTTGCTTTGATTGATTAAAAAGTTCTTCATACTTTAAATGTTAGTTTTTATACGCACTATCGCTCAATGAAGAAGTGGATGTCAACTACACAGCAATATGTATTTTTTTTATTGTGCCCCAATAGAAATAAATCACTGAAATCATTCTTAAATTGTCTGTATTACGGACTAAACGCAATAATGTTTGTATAACAATTACTTTCGCCTTTTCTACAGATTTAAAAATCCTTTTCCAGGATTGCCGTATAAATACATGTCTACGTAGAATTTATGCCGAGAACAAAAAAAAGTTTTAAATTGACATCTCATTCCAATATGGCGTCAGTGCTAGCTTGTATCATAGACTGTGTTCAGCAAAAAAGCAACTTTGCAACTGTTGTAAAATTCTTTAATATGATTGGTCTTGCCCTTAGTTCCTTATTGGATCTAAATATATAAACCAATCATATTCAAGAATTTTACAACAGTTGTAAAGCTGCTTTCTGTGCTCAACGCAGCCATGGATGTAATAAAAATTTATAGACATAGGCCGATACTTACAGTCGGATTTTATATTTAAGACTGTCTTAAGTAATGTCTTCAGTCGCGGCCTTCAGACTGGTTCATGACATTTTAAGATTGTACTCTATATCTATGAATTCTTATCACGTCTATGGTTTGTATCAATATATGGGAATGTCAAATGGCGAATTGTTAATAGAAATTACTGCCATATCGGCACTGAATTATTTGATATCGAGGATATCAATACAGTATCATCCATCACTAGTAACGCGATATTCAATCAATTGCTTTTCCAGAAGAGCCGTACGCTGATTGGATTTCGCGGATCGCGCTGATGTGATGGAGCCATAAAATATCGAACACGATAGGCGATGAGCGACGGGCGATATCCAATGAGAACTCTGCTTTGCATCGTCACTTGAGTAAAAACAGAGTTTTCATTGGATATCGCTTATTGCTCATCGCGTCCGGTGTGCAGTAGGCATTAAGTGAAAAGGCCGCGGCGGCGCGCGCGACATTCGGCTTGTGCGCAATCGCAGCCAAACACCAACCGCGAATCCCAGGGCCAGAATGGAACACTAGAGAAAAATTTCCCAGTAGAGAGAGAGATTTGTTAGCGGAAAAGTCGTGAGTTGATGTAAGTAAATAAAGGACCGTGCGAAAGATATACTTGTCGCCGACGCGCGTTTACGGGCAGGGCAGGTCGTCAACGTGCGAAAGACTTGAATCAAATTCGACGCGGAGATACCCGCAGCGGATCGACGTTTAATTTCGTTAAAGCCTGATTTGGCTTGGCCTCACGATTAAGGTTAAAGTGAATCAGGGGGTATGTGCTCGTGGCTTTTCAGGCCAGCAACCCTCTAGCGGATGGATCGCGGAATCTCGCGTGACGTTCACGATGAACGCCATCCCCGTCGCCGTCGCTCGTGCCTCTGATGCATGCGATCGCCCGTTGCGTTTACATAAATAGGAAGCTCGGGGCGCGTCGCCACGGGTAGGTCGATCTCGCGGTCGCGATCGTCTGCCGCGGGAGCCTCGTGTCCTAGTCAGGAAAAAGATGTGTCAAGGAAGAGAGACAGAGAAAGAGAGAGAAGCGGCAAGATCGAGATCGACGATCGAGATGAGGAAATCTTCCTTTCTCGACGATATAATTCGATAGTAACTTAATGGTAGTCTGTCTCTCTCTCTCTCTTTCTCTCCCCCTCCCTCCTTCGTTCACCTCGTCGACACCGTTTGTCCTCCCATCCATCCATCCATCCATCCCTCCCTGTGACCCTTCTCGCGTTCCTCCGACTGTCTCCTCCTCCCCCCCCTCCCTCTCCCCCTCTCTCTATCCCGCTCGAAAATGTTTCTTTCTCCCGCCCACTCATTGGCGATTTTCCCCCCTCGGGAACTTGGCTGTCGCGAAACTCGCGAAACGTAAATCGTCGTCCTTGCGTACTCGTGGCCTAGGAGACGAGATTGGCGAGAACGAGAGGTGGAATTTACGTGTCATGCCCCACCACCGCCGGCCACTAACCGTGGATAGGATTTTCGCGTGGGTTCTCTCTGTTATTATGGCGTAGCCAGTGAAACTCTTTCTCGCTCTCCGCCGGGGCTTCTCTCTCGCGGACGCCAACCAACAGCT